AAGTAAATCAGAGCTAAAAAAGTGCAAAAACGCAGGCAAATTTGCCTGCGTTGGTCTACATATTAAGGGATAGTATAATGGAAAAACCTTTGATTTATATTGATCTGCAAAAAGCCTATAAACTCGATCAAGAAATCGCTAAAACTAAAAAAATTAAAGATCGAAATTTGATATTACAAAAACCTACAATTAATATTGATTCCCAAAAAGCACATGATCTTGACCAACAACTTGCTTTACAAAAGCTATATTATCAGCCCGAAGGTTTTTATCAAAATATTAAGGGATTGTAGAATGCTTGTAAAAAAGCTGGCTACAACTTTCTATTTAATGATATAAAAAAATAGCTTGATGATTAAGCAATTTATTAAATCTTTCGGCTTTTACCAAGACAAATACCTTATGCTAGTTACTCTAAAATTACAAAGCCAAATACTGTACACTAGTGTAATCTAATCGAAATACCATATGATGTAAATACAGATTTACTAGATAATGACTCAATATTTTACTATGTATTATTAGCTATAGACTGTGCAACTAGGTATAAGGATTTTGTTTTTTTAATATCAAAAAGTAGTAAAGAAGTTGCAGAAGCATTTAAGATTAAATATGATAACTGACAACTCTCTTAACTGGCCTCAGCTATTGCAATGTGATCGAGGTCGCGAGTTTATAGGGAATGTGACATTAATAATAGATAAACATAATGTTAATATTCAAAGAATTAAAGCATGTTTTAGACATACAAGCATGGCAATAGTTGATCGTTATACTGAATTATTTAAATTAAGAGTTTTTAAAAACCAATATGCAATAGAGTTTCTCTTATCTACTGGTGAGTACTATAGAGAATGTGAACGTTTTGTATAAAAGATTGTTGACAATATGAATAATACTCCAACTTGACTAATTGGAATGAGTTCTAATGATGCTATGAAACTTGAGCAGATATATTCTAAGCCATCAGTAAAATATAATTGTCCAATAGGTGTTGATGAACTACAACTACTAAAGAGCACTATTGTATAATTCTTACTTGCTAAAGGGGAATAAGAAAATGATCCCTTCGAACAATGCAGGATAACAGATCCTGTATAGTCCCCTTTTTTATATAAAATTCGAAAAATTGTTGTTGGGAAAAATTCTCCTATACTTATTTTATATTATTTAGATGAATTGAAACCTTAGCGTTCCTTTGTAAGAAAACAATTAATGCATATTAAGAAAGAGCCTATGTTGCCTCCTAGGTAGGTATTGAGAGATAACTGAATATATATAAGGCACTCCTTATAAAAGTTTCTAAGTCAATGACACAATAGGGAATTGTAATAAGAATTATTCCTTCTTTGTAGCATAATGCCCTTTTTTTTTAATCGCGTTAAATTTGCGTGTCTAGATTTATCTGTCCTTGTAGGCAAAAAAAAGGCACGATTTGGTAATGTTGATTATCACTATATTCGAAGGCCAAATCTAACTCTTCATTATATCCATCTAGATACAACCCTTCCAAGAATTTAGGTTTTCGGAGTGGGAATTTTTTATGCAATAATTCTTCGAATATATATTGACATGTCTTTTCAAATATATAAGAACAACTATTGCACCATCTATAATTTCGTTTCATATCTCTATAGGATGCTTTCCATCAATGCTAATTTTTACAAACTTATAAATAAATATTAGGGTTTGATCTAACTTTAGCCAAGCATTATCCTTCATGTCTTTTGGCATAGATAAGAGCTTGGGTATTAATCTCATTATAATCTTGTATTTTTATAATATATTCGAAGTCATATGATTTTTCAGATTTTTTTTTAATATATTTAATGTAAGAAAGCAGAATATAAAAACTATATAATAAAAATAATACACATTCTCAAATTCTGATAGGGGAAATAGGAGTGTTCTCTGTTATGACAAGCACTTTGATGTCACCTCTATCAGCATATATGTTACTTACTTTGTTGATTATTGCAGTTATGTGGTTTGTAATATTAAGACACACATAGAATATAGATAAAAAAAGTGAACAATTATGGAGTGCATAGGCTAGGTATTAGAAATTATCTATTTAAACTTCGATATTATTTATGTACGAAAAAATATTATTAATAATGTATAAGTATCTTAGTGGAGTCTGGCAATTCTAACCAAGAATACTTAACAGTATAAATTAATGATCTTATTGATATCAGACATCTTTTTTACTATTTTATATAATTAATAGTGCTGAAGATGTGCAATCTCAAGACCAATTGCTTTGTATCACATATTTCAGAATTCTGTTAGTATCCCATACTCGAATTCTAAAATATTAGTTAATATATATTCTTCCAATATTGTACTTTTAAAAATATACTTATGAGAATTATTAACTAATTTATACAAACCTTCTCTATATTCTGTAAATATATTCATAATTTCTACAAGTAATATTGATAATTTTGAGTAAATAGATTCCTTATTTTTAGTTAACACATTGAAATAGGGATTATTTTTCTGTGAAGAATTTTTAATAGAACTGCTAATATTCATAGTAAAGAATAATTTTTCGGCATATATAATAGCATCTTTCCATAAATAGGAGATAATAGCTTTATCTTTTTTTAAAGCATCACGTAAGTTTTTAATATAATTTTTAAGCTATTTTTTAGCCAACTTCTGTAACTCTTCATCTTTAATTTTTGCTATTTCATCTTCATCTAGACTCAAAGAGTCATTGCTTTGCAATAAATCTTTAGCAATTTTTAATTTCTTCTTCTTGGATTTATTTTTGTAATCCAAGACTTTCGAGAGAGATTCAGACAATAGTTGATATTTATTATCATAATTTATAAACTGGACACAGAGGCCAAATAGACTTTCGATATAATAATCAATATTTATTTTCTTGTTGAACTTTTTTACCACATTTGAGTATTCTATAGTCTTCTTTTTGTTGTGGTATTTTTTCCCCACAGTTATCATAAATTTCTTCAGGTACTACTACAATATAACTAAATCATTCACCGGGTTTGAAAACTTTATATAAGTATTCATTAGCAGGTAAACTCTTCTTTATAAGCTATTGATTTTCCAATACTTCACAAAAATACTTAGTCTTCATTCATGAAACAAATCACTCTACAGAAATATTTCCTACTTACCTTCCTTTTTAGGCTTCTATATACATGTCTGAATAAATTCATCATAATCTAACTTGGAAAGTTTTTTCATATTTTCCCAAAGAACTTTTTCAACAATCTGGTGTACTGTCTCCTCATTACTGATTTTCAAAGTTCTATTCATAATCTCCTTACCTACATCACGAAAGAGCTTAGATTGTCCTCTTTTCACAATATCCACCTCTCTAATGAAAAGCTTATCTGGATTAAAGTTTGGTTTATTTTTATGCTCCAGACCATAGTATTTTTTCTTTCTTGTAAATACCACAGGAAATAAAACCTCCTCATATGCCATATTAAGATAAGGCATTCTATTGTCTTTTTCAAACTCAGTATTTACTTTATTATAGAGGTTTGCCATCACTTCCATAGATATTTTTACTATTTCCTCCCATTACTCTTCTTGTGAGAATTGATCTAACTTATATTTTCGATCATATTTCTGGAAACACTCCTCTGAACATGTAAAATATAAAGAATTGGTATCTCCATATTTAATGCCAAACTCTTTGTCTTCAACAAATTTTTTAACAAATTTAATATTACACTGTCTAGCAGAAGTAACTCCACCTGCTAACTGCAGTTGATAGAATGGGGAGAAATTATTATCTGTCTTACCATAAAATGTATTTATATATAATTTTACTGCCTTTTGTTTTGAGTCTAAGCAACTATATTTGAAACTTTCTTTATCCAATTTATTAAGGCATTTTTTCATTTTCTTTCATTTATTAAACAGATTCTCCAATACTCTAGTATATAAACCCTTTTCTTCAGGTATATTATTGTAGCAAATAGACCAAGCTTTTATAGTTTGACCATTGAATAGAAACTTAATCATATGTATCTTTTTTCCACTACAAATTACATTTATCGCCTCTTCACGAGATAATATGATTTTATCTGGTAAAAGGTTGTAAGTCATTATAAGACTTGGGTATAGGAAGACAAAATCTAAGCCTGTTACTAAATATTTGTTTTCGAGACCCTCTATCAGTGTAATAACATAAGCTCCTGGGTACTTACCAAATTCTGTATTTTTTGAAGCAATCATACTACATAATATATTACTGCTCCAAGCTTCAACTCCCAAAAGATTATATACTTTTATACTTCCTGTGAAATAGTGAATATTAGAAAGAGAAACATATACAATAGATAACACCTCTCGATAATCATTAACTATATTATGCTTAACCATAAGCTCCTGGCATCGCAATGTATCTATAATACAATAATGAGCTATTTTACGCATGTTTTTGGCTGAGCTGTCAGAGTTTTGAAGTATAGCATCTTCGTAGTATTTTCACATTTTATTATAAGGCATATCTGCCTTACTATTCAACCCACAGATATTTAGATAATATTTCAGTAAACTTGCCTCTGATTTTGGATATAATTTTTTAAAACAAGCACGAATATTAATAAATATACATCTTGGGATTTTGAGATACTTTAAGTAGAATTTCTCATCAGATAACTTTATCTTACTTTTTTGATATTTCTATTTTATAATTTCTTCAATATTGGATGGCTCAGGTGATATATGATTAAACATTCATTCAAGAATATCTAAACTTTTAGCTTTTTCTATAATAAGAATCCAATTATATTGGGAATTATTAAAACCTATTTGTATATCTAAAGCCAAATTTTTCTAATATAATGCAAATACTTTCAGTAAGTTGGTCTGATTTTTACATATTACTGTGATCCATCTGGGATCTGATTCTGTCTCTACATTAACTAAACATATTTGCAGCAATGGATTTGGATCATTTTTCCAATGAACTGTTATACAAATCATAAATACTTGATTCTCTTCATTTCTTGCATTAGACAGATTTTCCATTTTGCATCCACTATATATTTCTATATCCCAGATGAGAACAAGAGTTTTGTCATGTAAGAGAACTTTCTAAAGACTGATAGTTATCTACAGATACATGAAATAAATATAAATAATTTGGTAAATTTGTATCAGAAACACAATAATAATCATTTAATATTGCCCACTCAGAAAAAGGTAACTTCTTTTCACGAGCTATTTTTCGATAATAATATACATTGGTAATATTATCTGATGCTGTTTCAATGCCATACTTATGTACCTCTTTTAAAATTTGTGTTCTATTATAATGATTCCATGTAGTGATGCGAATGTATACCTTTTTCTTGGTATAGTAGCCACGAATTGGATATACGTTGATGTCTTTTACTCCAAACTTCGATTTATCAATCTTTTCTACTCCTGAAATAATTTTTACTAATCTTGGTTTGAATATAAATAAAAGTTCATTATTAGGCACAAGGATATCAAAGAAAGGTTTGATACTTGTAATATCTACCCTAGCTTTTTGCCTATTAATCAAAGTGCTATAAATATGTAGAATATATGTAGATACTCCATTTTTGTATTCAGTAGCATCACCTACATCGCCAGATATAAAGTATATAGGCTGTTTATTGGATAGGTTTTGTTGAAGAATGGCTGTTAATTCATTATCACATTTTGAAATAAAGATACTACGCATTGGGATCCCTTCTAATTTCCTGCTCCTATACCGCTCAAGTTGTGCACTTTGTTTACTCATTTTTGGTATTTTGTTTTTTATTGGTATGTATCAATCTTTGTTTAATTATATTATTATAATATAGTTTGAAAAAGTTT